CGGCTGCGGGGCCAGGGCGTCCCCGTGCGCAGACGGCTGGACCTGGACCCCAGCCGGCAGGGCCGAGGCTTGCTTCTCTTCCAGCTCAGGCTGACTCTCCGACAGCACGTAGTGACCCTGGGGCGGGAAGAACAGGGTCTGTGAAACCTGGGTCTCCTACGATGGCTGCACCGCTGGGGACATGAAGGGTGACTGCCAGGTCGGGTGGGAGACACAGGGACGCAGATGATGGGGCACGATTACAGACAGTTAAGAGGAGTCAGGTCTAGTGCTGTCGAAGACGGCTGGGAGACTGGGTAACCACGACCTACGTACACCTCGAGTGGCTAAGAGAGGGTGTGGGTGTCGCCAGCACAAAGCACTAACAAGGGACTGAGCGGATAGGCATGCTGGTCACCCCAGTTAGTCACCCACAATACTCAGGGACCACAAAGTCACATGGAGCCCTGCAAATATATACGATTACTATCTGTTAACTAAAAACGTATTTAGGGCCCGCACGTGGTGTGAGGTTGAGGAGCTGGTTCCTACATGGCCAACTTCCTGGTCTGAGCCCAGATCCAGCAGCTTGTAAATCATGCCGGTGCATGTGCAGCATGCCCGATCCAAAGAGGAGAGTGGAGGAGAAGGGACTGAGGCGTGCTCAGCCCCTGGTGCGGGGCTGTCATTTCTCACTTCCCCTCTGTCTCTTTATCTCTCTCTGGTAAGCACATGTGCCCTGTGGCAAAAACTTAAAAACAAAAAAAAACCAATGGTTTAGAAGGAAAAAAAAAAATTAAAGGCCTAAAAGGAAGGTAGGGAGCAATCGTGGGGGAGAGGTACGTAAAGAAAGATATACAGGGGGACCCCGAAGAGGTCTCTAGGAGAGATGCTTCCCAAAGTCCTTTTCTTTTTTTTAAGAATTGTTTTATTTATTTATTCATTTTTAATTTGACCAGAGAGAGACAGAGGAAATGGGAGAGCAAGTCGCCAGATCTAGGACTCGAACTATGGTCGGCCATGTGGGAGCCCAGCACCCTTAACCACCACACTGCCTGCCGCCCCCACTTCCCTAAGTCCCTCTGAGAGGACAGATGATTGACAGGTGGGCCTGAGAGGGCCCACAGAGCCCCGGAAGTGTGCCTGGGCTTTGCACGTCCGTTTACTCGGGCAGGGCAGGGAAGCACCCTTGGCCTCAGTCAGGTTCTAAAGGAGTTTCTGGGCTCAGGACGGTAGAGAGCCAGCGGGTCGTGTGGGGCAGGCCCCACGAGACTCCCTGTCCACGGGCGCTGTGGCGTCACTGCAGTTCATGGCTTCACCTCGGGTGTTAGCCTCTCCCTGGTCCAGTTAACGTGCCCTCAGTGTGCTGGGACAAGGGTGAGCTCCCAGCATGCTTAAACATAAGCAGGCACCCCAAGAAGCGGCCCAGCATCCCCAGCCACGTAAGGCTGCTTTTCTTCTTTCCCCTTCCCCGACTTCATTAGGGTGAAAATTGACAAATGAAAGCTATATATATTAGGCTGTCGGAAAAAGTCATGACATATTCTTCTATGCAGAATTAGTCATCTAAGAGGACTTCCCTTAATTTAAACGTCTGTATCTGGGGCGGGCCAGTGTGGTAGCTGAGGCAACAGGGTCCCACACAGCCAGCCGCGAGGTTCAAGGGCTGGACCCAGCAGCTTGAAAAACACACAGGGTACGTGTAGGTGCATGCCCAAAATCTTGAAAGAAGAAGTGGAGGAGAAGGGGCTGTGCCGTGCCCTCCCCCCACAAGCACTGTAGCACTCTCTCTCTCTCCCCTCCAGCGAGCACATGCATACTCTAGTAAATTTTAATAATTAAAATTTCTTAAAAATGTATTACTCTGGAGCCAGTCCCCTAGCCTGGTAAATAAGGAGCTGGACCCCACATGTCAACCATGGTTCAAATCCCAGCCCCGGAAGTCTGAAAAAAAAGCCAGGCACGTGTGTGTGCGTCCCCAGAACCCTGACAGGATGGGAGAACGGAGGACTGCGATGTGCCCACGCCCACCGGGGCACTCTGTGCTCTCTCCCTCTCTCTCTCACTCTCGGGCAAATGCACACATACTCTAACAATTTATAAACAAATTAGGTGACCGGGTATTCTGTCTTCTGGTAACTTAGAGGTGGGCCAGAAAAACTGGTGCAGATCAAGAAGAGGAGAGTGTGGCCCCCACGGCACCTGTAGTTAGGTACAGGGAAGTCAGGGACAGGACGTGGCCCCCACGGCACCTGCAGTCAGGGACAGGGAACTCAGGGCCAGGACATGGCCCGATGGCACCTGCAGTCAGGGACAGGGAACTCAGGGCTAGGGCGTGGCCTCCATGGCACCTACAGTCAGGGACAGGGAACTCAAGGCCATGTGTTTGCACCTGGGGTGGGGCAAACTATTGCCTCTTTTTTCCTTTTAGAGAGATTTTTGCTATAAGGTGCGTGAGCTCGCTGGAGAGACAGAGAGCTACAGAGAGACAGCGAGCAGTCACCTCCCAGGGTTGGCCATGCTGCAATCCCTTCTCCTCCGTTCTCCTCCTGGGATCTTGGGCACACACGCACATGCGCCCAGCATGAGTTTTAAGCCACCGGGTCCGGGACGCGAACCACAGATGATTACATGGGAGTCCAGTAATGTAACCGTTATGCCATCTGCCGGCCCCAGGGGTGAACTATCTGAAATAGCTCCCTAATCGATTCATCATATTACCCTTTCCCAGCTACTTGAAGACCAATAGTCCTGAGGACTCATAAGCTCTAAAACCCACATAAATCACTGACCAAATGGATGGACTCAGGAGGTCCGTTAGGACCATTAATATCCTGCATAGACATTTACTGAGCATCTGCTGCATCCTAGCCCCCTGGGCACTGAGGACAAAGTGGTAAAAACAAGCGCAGCTGGGACTGGCAGGCGGTGTCTGCTGAGGGGTGGACTCCCACATGTCGCCCACGGACAAGCCCTCGACCCAGCAGTCCGGAAATCACAACAAATGTAATAGATAGGTAAATAAATAGTTAAAAAAAAATCCGCTTTCAAGGAGTTCATGATCTACTGTAAAAACAGAAGCCTGTCATTATGAACTGAGTGTGACCGCCGTTGGGTACACAGCACGGCGCCCCAGGAGAGACCCGAGCGAGTGTGCAGCTTACCGACGCGACTGCCTTCACCTGGCCGGCAGTGACAGGGGTGGCCACTCCGCTGTCCGTGATCACAAACTGACCCGGGGGAAGTGTCATCATTTGAATCTCAGAAGCTGAAAAACAGGAAATAGCCACAGTGCAGTGGGCTTAGACTTTAGAACGGGTCCTAGAGACAAGGCCTCAACCAGCAGCCACATGCTCCTGAGACTTCCCACGCACCTGCAGGAGTCACGATGGCGTGTTCCATTTTTCTCCTTTTTAAAGTTTATTTCTTTATTTCTTCAATGACAGAGAGAGACAGGTACCCTGAACAGAAGCCCTCAGGCCACCATGCACCCCGAGTCTCAGGCAGCCGGGGCCAGGGCAGCGCGTGCCCCAGTGGGCCCTCCCGAGGGTCAGCTGCAGCGCCGCTGGGCACCACTGCCCTGATGTACCGTCCTGAACCCCGGGAGCATCTCTGGTAGGAGCTGACCGTACGAGGAGGCTGCCCACTGCCAGGGGCCGTCAGCCCACCCTCCCTCGGCATGGCTTGTGAGTAGCCACGACGAAGTCCACAACTTTTTAAACCATGAAAGACATGAAGATTTACCTCTGAGCTCAAAGTCTCCTGCCATACATTCAGAGGAGGATTTGTGCGGCACACATATCAAAGTTGCCCGGCAACCGCAGTCAATAAACGTGGGTTTTATTTCATGTTTTACTCGTTACTAAAGCAAACCAAGGTCAGGGCTGGCTCTAGCGCACAGCAGTAATGGCCTGCTCAGGAGCAGTCGATCCCACCAGCAACCGTGGTTCAAATCCCCAGCCCGGTCAGGCTGGACTACACCGGGCCCTCTCACGAGTGCTGAAGGTCCAACAGGCTGGCAGCCCGGAGGAAGGGCTGCCCCATGAGCAGACCCGTGTAGGGTCTCTCTAGCATGTGCACACATACCCTCTCCTGAATAAAGAAACAAATTTTAAAAAACAGTTCACCCCAGCTCCCTGTCGATCATCTTTCTACAAAAAGAAGCGAGAATCCTTGGGGAAGTGCCTGATTCCAGAGCTGGGCAGAGACCCACAGGGCAGCCTGGGACAGCGTGTCTTGCGGAGACCTGGTGACCTGAGGCTGCAGGGTGGTGTGGGGGGATGCTGGAGCAGCTCGAAGAGGGTCCTGCTGCCCAGAGACGGGGTCGCCCGAGCATCGGTAAGGACAGCAACTGCACTGGGCTGAGACGCGGCCTGGCGGGACCTACACGGACGAGGCGGCCCCGGCCCCCAGCCGCCCACTCTCTGTGTTGGAGACTGGACTTATCCTGCCTCCCTGTACACACTGTGCCTCGGAATGACCCGGTGCCCCAGGTGGCCCTTCCTTCTTCATAGACGTTTCCAACCAGTGCACGGGCACGCGGCGGCAGGGGAAAGCACGGTGCCCTGCCTCGCTGGCCCAGGCTGGAAACTTCTGGGGTCCTCCCCCTGCGGACACAGGCACATGTGTAACCCTGCCGGGTTAAGGCTGGGAGTGGTCAGGGTCAGGACCTTGTGGAGGGTGCTGTCTCTGTCTCCCAGCTCTCTCGCTCATGGAAGAGATAAATCAACAAACATTTTAGAAGATGAGCAGGAATAACAAAATGAGAATATCACAACTCTGCAAGTCCTAAATGAAATACCGGAGGGGCCAGCATGTAGTATAGTGGGTGGGGTGCTGGGCTCCCATGTGGCCAACCACGGTTCCAGTCTAGGACCTGGTGCCTTCAAAATCACGCCAGTATGTGTGCCCCAACCAGGAGGAGAATGGCAGAGAAGGGACTGTGGTATGGCCATTCCCTCAAGGGGTGATTTCTCACTTTCCCTCTCTCTATCTCTCTCCAGTGAGTGTATGCCCTATGGCAAAAAAAATAAAATGAAAGGAATAGAAAAGAAAGAGCAATACTGGAGCTAAGGAACACCCATCGCTAGCTCCCAACCTCACAGAACGAGACAGAAGGTTCCGTGCCTCCTGGAGGAAGCACACACAGCCGCTGTGAGGAACCTAGGGGTGGGGAGCGGAACCCGAACCTAAGTTAGCCTCTGGCCCTGACTGCCAGTCTAAGGGATAAAAGGACAGAGCCCGTGAAATGTGGGGTGCCCCCATCACAAACAGGAA